TCATCAATTTCGAAATCCCTTATATGAACACAAACCCTTAAATTTGGGATCTTTGAACACCAACAATATTACCATACAATATTGGTACCAAAAGATAGAGTTTTTCGCGTATAACGATTTTCTATTTACAACTTACTCAAAATCCTAAGTAAATTACTTGAAAATTGAGTTGAAGCTTTCTCTTACCTTTGAAGAAGCCCACGTCTGGTTGGAGAAGAAGATAAAAAATTTGGGTGAAATGTTGGGTTCATTTCATCTTATTTTACACTACATTCCACTATAAATGAATCTAATATTCATTTAATTGGGATATAACCAAAGCACCCTCAATGAATCTTCTTATTCATCATAAAACCATGACAACTCATCCTTATCATATTTCAAAGTCAAAGTTGAATTATTTTGACTTTAATTTCCAAAATTTCCCATGAAATTTCAAAACTTTCATTTTAGTCACTAAATTCCACTGTTTCGATTAAATCTGAAAAAATTGCACATTTCCAGACCAAATTTCTCTGATCCAAAATATTAAAATAATATTTCCAACCATTTTATAACATCCTTGAAATTTTTGTAAAATTCCAAGTCAATATGAAATTTTTCCTTACCGGTTTTAACCCTTTCTAATTTTTCTTTACTAAAATTCCAAATCCAAAATATAATTTCCATAAAACCCCACTCTCAAGAGTAAACTATCTATTTATGGAATAAAATTCTTTTTAGGAACTTTATCACTTAATTCCCTAAAATTTCTTTCAAATTTTTACTTTGACCATCAAACTTTCAAAAGTTACATTTTGGTCATTACCAAAATTTGGGGTATTACACATCAACTCTTCACTAAATTACATAACATAAAGCTCCTTTCATACAATTAAACTCAACAACAACTATTTTAACTAACTTCTATCATTCTAACAACTTATAATCTACCATATCTCATCTTAATTCTTAAAGCTAAGAATCTTACCAAATTTTCCATGTTATCCAAACTTAATTCTAACACTTATAACTTCTTATTCTCATATATGAGAAGTCCAATTCAACATCTAAATTCATTTAAATCCTCTTATTCAAATTTTCACCTAAATGCTTCATATCTTCAATTCTCCATAACTTGTTATTCTTTGGATGTTAAACTACTTTAAATCTTCCTTTATGTTTCCTAATCTTCTAAGAATTCATAGCATATCAAATTTTACAAGAATTATTCAACTAGAGGAATCCTTACCTTAGCTCAGAATGCTTCACGTTTGGAGAAGGAAAGGTTGAAGAAGAATTGTCTCGAAACATTTGTTTCCACATATGCTCCACGTGGATAATAAATAATTCCCACAAATATTAATTTATTCCAAAGCTCAAATGACTCATTGCCCTTTCAATTCCTCCTTCTGTGCTAAACCATCCTACATAAAAAATTTCAATCAAGTCCTTGAACTTTTTCCATTTATCTAATTTAGTCATTAAATTTTAAAATCTCATAATTTGATCACTAACCCGGTATTGAGGATGTTATAAATCTCCCCCTTAAGAAAATTCATCCTCAAATTTTCATTATAGGAACAAATGAGGGTATTATTGTCTCATATCCTCTTCACGTTCCCACGTGGTTTCCTCTACTTTGTGATTCCTCCATAGAACTTTAACCAATTTGAACCGCTTTATTTCTTAATTACTTTACTTAATGAGCTAATATTTGCACTGGTTCTTCTTCATAGGTCAGATCAGGTTGAACTTCTATTTGCTATGGTGCCACAATATGAGAGGGTTCTAACCTATACCTCCTCAACATGGACACATGGAAGAAGTTATGAATTTTCTCCATTTTCGGTGGCAAAGATAACTGATATGCTACTGATCCTATTCGTTTAACAACCTTATATGGCCCGATGAATCTCAGACTCAATTTTCTTTTCTGACCAAACTGTAATACTTTCTTCTAGTGAGATACTTTAAGGAAAACTTTATCTCTAACTTCAAATTCAATCTCTTTTCATTTAAGATAAGAATAGGACTTTTGCCAATCAAATGTCACTTTGAGGTTATACTGAATTTCCCGAACTTTCTCTTCCACATCTTGAATCAAATCCAGACCAAGAACGCTTCAATCTTTGAGCTCATACCATTTCAATGGAGTACGACGTTTCCTCCCATATAACGCCTCATAAGGTGCAATCTTGATACTAAAATGGTAAATATTGTTGTAAGCAAATTCTGCCAATGGTAGATACTTCTCCCACCACCCTTTGAACTCAATTATACATGCTCTTAACATATCTACCAAGATTTGAATTGTCCTCTCTGATTGCCCATCAGTCTGAGGGTGAAAGGCCGTACTAAAATTTAAGCGATTCCTCAACGCTCCATGCAAGGATTTCCATAATCTCGAAGTAAATCAAGGGTCTCGGTCAGAGACTATGGAAATAGGCACTCCATGCAATCTAATAATTTCTCTAATATATAATTCTGTATACTTTTCCATAGAGAAATCAGTCCTGACGGGAAGGAAATGTGCTGACTTGGTCAATCCATCAACAATTACCTAGATTGAATCTCTTTTGTTCAAAGTCAAAGGTAACCCCGAAACAAAATTCATCGTCACATTTTCCCACTTCCATTGAGGAATGGAAAATGGTTGCAATAATCCTGACGGAACTTGATGCTCGACTTTGATTTGTTGACATACCAAACACTTAGACACGAATTCAATGATACTTCTTTTCATCCCTGGCCACCAATACCGATCCTTCAAATCCATGTACATCTTAGTTCCACCCAGGTGTATCGTCAATGGACTGCAATGAGCCTCTATCAATAAATCTTTCTTCAACTCCTCATCGTCGGGTATCACAATTATTCCTTTATAATATAAATTCTCATCCGACTTAACCTTAAAATCTTTAATTTCTCCATTTTTCACTTGCTCTACTCTTTTCAAACACCATTCATCTTTACTTTGTAATTCTCCAATTCGATCCAACCATGCTGGTTTAAGCTTTAACTCTGTACATAGATCACCATCTTCAGTCAAAGATAACCTTGCATCCATAGCTCATAAGGCTGCAAACGTATTCCTACTCAAAGCATATGCTACCACGTTAGCCTTTCCAGGATGAAAACCAATGACGACGTCATAATCCTTTAAGAACTCTACCCATCTTCTCTGCCTCAAATTAAGTACTTTCTGAGACATCAGATATTTCAAGCTCTTATGATCGGTATAAAGTAACAACGCTCTTCGTACAGATAGTGATGCCAAATCTTGAAACCAAACACCACTACAACCATTTTTAAAACATGAGTGGGGTAATTCTTTTCATGGGGTTTCAATTATCTCGATGCATACGCGACCACTTTCCCTCTTACGTTAATACACACCCCAATCCATTATGGGATACGTCACTGTACACTACAAATTCTTTCCAGATTCAGGTTGAACCAACACGGGAGCTTTTGTCAAAATTCTATTTAAAGCTTCAAAACTCTCTTGACATTCAGGAGTCCAAACAAACGGTATATTCTTTCTCATCAACTTGGTTAAAGGTAAAACTATCATCAAATTTTTTTAACAAATCTTCGATAATAGCCCACAAGTCCAAGGAAACTCTGAACTTCTGATACATTCTTTAAACTTCCCAATCCATAATAGCCTTTATCTTGTGACGGTCCACCCGAATTCCATCTGCAGAAATAACATGCCCAAGGGAAATCACTTCATTAAGCCAAAACTCACATTTGGACAATTTGGCATAAAGCTTCTTATCTTTGAGAATTTACAAGACTATCCTTAGATATGTACTATGCTCTTCATTGGATTTCGAGTACACCAGTATATCATCGATAAATACCACTACAAATTGGTCCAAATAAGGTTGAAATATCCTATTCATGATATCCATGAAAGCAGCAGGTGCATTCGTTACTCCAAATGGTATGATGATAAACTCATAGTGACTATATCTCGTTCTAAAAACTGTCTTCGAAATGTCTTTCTCCTGAATCTTCAATTGATGATAACTAGAACATAAGTCAATCTTCGAGAATACCAAAGCTCCCTTTAACTGATCAAACAAGTTGTCAATTCGGGGGAGGGGATACTTATTTTTTATGGCCATCTTATTAAGTTATCAATAATCAATGCAGAGACGATTGAACCATCATTATTTTTAACAAATAATATTGGAGCTCCCCAAGGCGACTGACTGTGTCGAATAAATCCTTTCTCTAGAAACTCTTGCAATTGATTCTTTAACTCTTGTAGTTCTTTCGGAGCCATCCGATAAGGTGCCATTGCAATCGAAGTTGTTCCCGACATTACTTCTATTTGAACTTCTACCTCTCTATCTGGAGGTAATCCCGGTAACTCCGCAGGGAAAACATCAAGAAATTCTCTTACTATCGGAATCTCATTTAACCCTTTTTCTTTAACTCTTGCATCTACCACATTTGCAAGAAAACCCTGAAATCCTTATAGCATCAACTTCTTTGTAGACATCGCTGATATTAGATTTGCTAAAGGATTAAACCTTTCACTGATCACGTTTACTTTTATTCCTTCTGGACTCTTCAGAGTTATCTTTTTTCAATCTACAATCGACATTCCCATAATAACGAAACAACCAATCCATCCCCATAATCACTTCGAACTCAACAAAGGGTAGTTCTATCAGATTAATATGGAATTCAATTTCCTGAATCTTTATGGGACGCCCCTTACAGACCTTATTTACCTGAGCACTATACCTTAAAGGATTAGTTACTATCACCTCATTACTCGTAGATTCTAATGGAATTCTCAATTTCTTTACTAATTTACTGGTAATATAAGAATAAGTGGAACCCGGATCAATCAATACCAGTACTAATTTTATTAAAGAGCTAGAAAATACCTGCTATAATATTGGGATCATCATGGTCTTCACTTGTCTTTAGATTGTATACCCATGTAGTTGAGCAGACTTCAGGTTGTGCAGAGTATTCTTACTAGTTCCTCCCTATACCTCTTCCTCGTCCTCTCTGCGAGGCAGAAACATTCCTCTCAGATGGTGCAGGCTCACCAATCATTAATGGGCAATCCCAGATAAAATGTCTGGTATCATCTTATCGAAAACAAGCTCCAGAAGCCATCTGACATGTCCCAAAATGATTATTTCCGCAATGCTGACACTGTCTTGCTTGACCTTGATTGGATCTCCCAGCACCGGATCCCACTGATTCCGTCTGTCTAGCTCTCGCCTGACTTGCTCCTCTAGCAGAGGATTTAATAGATTCAGATCTAGCTTGAGGTATGAATCACAAATCTCTTCCTCTTTTCGGTGGTGCTGAGCTTGAAGAAGCTCATGTTCTCTTTGAAGTCTGAACTCTTTATTCCCCAAATCTTTCTATCTGAACTCTCTCAAGAGCTTTAGCATGATTAATCACCTCCTGGAACGATGACAAGTTCAGTACTATCAACATCTCTTTCAATCTAGGGTGCAAGCCCTCCATAAACCATTCACGCATATATTTCTCTGTATGAACAAGCTCAGCTGCAAACCGACTCAGCTTATTAAACTCGCACTCATACTCATATACGGTGCAATTCATCTGCTTCAAGTTCATAAACTCTTGCTTCATTTTTCTGATGAATTTATCTCCAATATATATATTTGTGTTTAAACTCCTCCAAAAATAGAGACCAAGTCAATTGCTCGCTTGACATCCTCATAGTGAAATTCGTCCACCATATCCTCGCTTGTCCCCTTAGCAAAGACACACCTCCATCCAACTTCTCCACGTCAGAGCAGTGAAGACCATCCAACATGATTTTTCAAATTGTTAAGCCAAAGATCCACCGTAACTGGACCTTCTTCGGCTTTTCCCTTAAATTTAGGAGCTTCTAATCCTCTCAATTCTTTTACTACATTCACTCTTGGAGTTGATGGAACTTGAGGTTGGAGATGCGTAAGAATAGTGTCCAACGTCCTGAAAAAGGTGTCCTGATCCTGCACAGGCACTCCCTGAGATGCATGTCCTTCACCTTGCCTGGCCAGGGCAGGTGAATTACTACTTTCAGCAGGCCTATCTTCTCCCGCTTCACTTCAGGAGTTAATATGTCCAACATCTAATAAGAATAAATATATCGTTCTATTAGCAATATAACATACTCATTACTATATAAGATCAGAAGTTCTCACTGTATGTTGGCATATATTCAATTAAAGACATTCGAGACTCTGGTTTATGTCTAGAATTGGCTAAATCATGGCTCTGATACCATTAAATGTAACACCCTCAACTCATACCTGACCCGGATATGAGTCTGAGATGTCACATTGACTTTTTAAAACCATATCTTAACAAAATAACTAAATATTTGGACTTATATTAAGAAAATATGATAATATACAAAGGTTTATACAAAAAAATTCCCAAAATACTCAGAGCATACACAACTTAAACATTTGATTACATGCCAACATTAATTCACATAACAAAATGACATACTATTTAAGTTACTTCTGAATTGATAGTTGTAGGAGTAATGATGTCCCAGCTGCCTAACTTTGCTTGTCTACCTTCCCAAATCCTACTTGTGAAACACTCATCGACTTAGTGAGGCATAATAACAATAATAATAAAATATAATGAAAAGCCATAATGAAATGAAATGTAACGAAATCACATATTTAATCCATGCAAGTTACATAACCATGTATCTTACCCATAATCTTATCAAATTAACCATCTTGAATTCATATTAATAAGTTAATTAGCCCATGATACACTATTGAGAACCCAAGGTATACGAGTACAATGAGGTTGTGCACTATGCTGTCACCATAGCTCATATAAATGCACCGAAGTGCCACGTAGATTTGCACCGAAGTGCCACATAGATTTGCACCGAAGTGCTGAGTAGAAATGCACCAAAATGCCATATAAGAATACATATATGTCCCGAAGGACTGCTTAGATCCTCTACTCTAGGCATGCCAACTATACCTACAGTTCTCAACTACATAACATGGGCTTTTCACCATTCACATAGGGTATCTTATAGACATATAATTTCTTACCTTTATCGCATAGATCATGTAAGTTTTCATGCATATTCATTTAAACATGTCACCTAATGCATATGGTATGAATTCATATCATGTATCATAATATAAAATGAATCATGTACTAAGGTATTGAATATAGACTTATCACAAATCTAAAGTTTGATATATTATTATAATCATGTTATGCATATGCACTCACCTAGATCTCTTTGCATTTCCCTCGATCGCTCTTACTTGCAAATGGTTCTGGAACGCATGTAGGCTTAGTATCTACATAAATATAATTTTTAAGACAATTATCAGATGCCTAAACCTTATAAGTCAATACTAATAACTTAAGCTAATTTAATAAACCAAAACTCATTTTTCCCTTTAGGAGGCTATCAATGCACTACGGGTGTATCGATACACAAATTGCTTTCGAAATTCACAGGTATCTATACATGCCTGTGTGTATCGATACACAAGTATCGGTACACTCCTCATTGTATCGATACACCATGAATATATTCTTCAAAATTGGTCTTAGTGTATAGGTACCTATTCATAGTATACCGATACACACTACCCAGAACAGACTTTTTCACCCGAAATTCATCAACTCTTCACTAAATTCTATCATATACAACTCCTTTCATACCATTAAACTCAACAACAACCATTTTAACTAACTTCTATCATTCTAACAACTTATAATCTCCCATATCTCATCTAAATTCTTAAAGCTAAGAATCTTACCAAAATTTTCATGTTATCCAAACTTAATTCTAACACTTATAACTTCTTATTCTCATATATGACAAGTCAAATTCAACATCCGAATTCATTTAAACCTTCTTGTTTAAATTTTCACTTAAATGCTTCATATCTTCAATTCTCCATAACTTGTTATTCTTTGGATGTTAAACTACTTTAAACCTTCCTTTAGGTTTCATAATCTTTTAAGAATCCAAAGCATATCAAATTTTTCAAGAATTATTCAACTAGAGGAATCCTTACCTTAGCTCATAATGCTTAATGTTTGGAGAAGGAAAGGTTGAAGAAGAATTGTTTGAAAACATTTGTTTCCCCACATGCTCCACGTGAATAATAAATAATTCCCATAAATATTAATTTATTCCCAAGCTTAAATGACTCATTTTCCCTTTTAATTCCTCCTTTTGTGCTAAACCATCCTATATAAAAAAATTCAATTAAGTCCTTAAACTTTTTCTATTTATCTAATTTAGTCACGAAATTATAAAACCTCACAATTTGATCACTAACCCAGTATTGAGGATGTTACACCCATGTTATGTTATATGGGAGATGTGGGTATAATTGGCATGCCAAGAGTAGAGGGTTTTACGAGATCTTTCGGGAGATATATGTGGTCCTTTGGAACAATTCAACAAGGTCCTTCGGGATAATTTTAAATGGCACTCAATGCAAATTTATACGAGCTGTGGTGACAACATTTGTGCACAACCTCAATGCACTCACATACCTTAAGTTCTCAGTAATATACATGGGCACATAAAATATATAAAAAGAATTAACCTTCTTATAAGATGACATGTTATTATTTATTAAATGAATGATCATATATGTTATTATTGAGTAGATATATGATGATTTTGATTACATGCTGAAATGATTGGATTGCATGTTCATGACATAAGTATTGCATGTTCATGACTTAAGTATTGCATTATTGTGTTATATGCCTCACTAAGTCCGTGACTTAGTATGTGAGTGTTTCACACATAGGTACCAAGAAACAAGAAGAACAGAGTTAGGAACTATCAAGGTATCATATCTTTTACAGAAGATCATATTAGATCAGAGGTGATTCAAACAGTATGTCATTTTGTTAAATGAATTATGTTGGCATGTAATGAAAGTTTCAATCACATATGCTCTGATCGATTTTGTAAATATTTTTGATTATATCTATGAAAATTATTTCACTTTTATTTTAATGTAAGTTTAAATCTTTCAATAATTTTATAAGAGTAAATGTTTTCAAAAGTCAATGTGACATATCAGATTTGTATCCGGTTTGGGCACAGGTTGGGGTGTTATATTTAAAACATTCATTGAAACATATTACTAAAACTATTACTTTAAATACATTACAAAATATTTTTTTAAGTTCAATTACATGCCAGCTAAGTTTCAAAATGAGTATGATTGTCCCAATGTTACTGATGAGTCAACCTTAATTGATGATAGCTGCTGCTACTGATGCACTCCTTACTTAACTAGTCTCTGCTTTTACCTCGGCGTGAAAGGAACACACGTTAAGTATTTACTTAGTGAGACATGATATTGTAAAGGAACATTAATGTATACATAAGTATATCATAGTTATTTAGTTTTGCACTAAATCTTATACTCCCTAAGGATCATATATATCCTCCTCAGTTAAACATATTTTCATTCACACAATCATCATAATTATTCTTCGTATGCCTAGCATACCTATCTTTCTTTATATTTTTTTCCATTATCTCTTTAGTAATTATTATTTATTTTCATTTATATCATCTTTACATGCTTATAATGCACCGTTATGCATTTCATTTATGGCATCCTTTCATGCCGATAATGCACCGTTATGCATTTCATTTATGGTATCCTTTCATGCCGTTAATGCACCGTTATGCATTTCATTTATGGCATTCTTTCATGCCGTTAATGCACCATTATGCATTTCGTTTATGACATACTTTCATGACGTTAATGCACTGTTATGCATTTCATTTATTCATTCATTTTAGAGCAGTTCATACTCTAAAATTCATTCATAATATCATTTCCTTAAACAAATTGAAAACATATTAAATATTGTAAAACATGCATTAAATTAAAACATTCTAATTTGAATCATTGTGAATCATCTTCATCTCAAATAAATACAATAAATTTACTCACCTGATGAGTATGATTGTCCCAATGTTACTGATGAGTCAACTTAATTGATGATAGTTACTTCTACTGATGCACTCCTTACTTGACTAGTCTTTGTATTTACCT